TTTCATAGGCCTTTTTTGTTTACACTTTTAGAAATAAAATATACTATAATTATATATTTTAGCCCTTTAATGGGGCAGTAACCTCAAAGGTGCAACTATACCCCTAAAAGTGAGCATATTAGTACCATACAAGTATGCATGCTTTAAGGGTAGATAAATTACAAAGGTGCACCTTTGAGGATACCTCATGAGAAATAAACATGGTGTTACATAAGTACTAAAATTTATTATTATCATGGTAAATTTGTGTTTACTGCAGTTTTACTACAAATACTTTGGTAAACCGTGGTTACTGTAATAAAACCATGGTTAATTTTTGTAAAAGGCTGCCAGGCTGTTGTACCCCTAAAGGTGAAACTTTAGCATATTTGTTTCTGACAGATTTATTAACAGCAATTACAGAACAGAACACAATCCATTTGAACTTTTAACAACCAGTTTAAATACATTTACTTGCACACTTAACTGGCCAATTTAAAATAAATATTACATGTACACAAAAGTTTGGGGTTAGTAAGATTTTGTAATATTTTTTAAAGTCTCATGCTCATTTACTGATGTGTACACACCTGGAAAAGCGTTTCTAGACATGATGCTGGTGTCAGATCCACACTGAAGATCTGGCGCCTCCTGCTGGACACTCGGCAAAACAGCAGCACAACAACACACTGAAAACACAGCTACACGTTTGGAATGCATTTTCATTGCATTTGCAATGCTTTGACCAGCAGGTGCCCTCAGCCTATTAGGAGTACTTTAACAGTGAATTGTTTGATTCAGAGTTTTGAAAAGCTTCTTTAATTCTCCCATCAATAAATATCACAGTGAAACATAAAGAACATTTCCCGTTAGTAATAAAAACAATAAAAACATGTTTTATGGTGCTTGATTTCCGACACCTTCTACCTTATTTTATTTATTCTCAGGTTAGGTAAAGTAAGTCAAATCTGTCCTATCTCATAAGCATCTGAGTTTTCATACTTACAAAATAGATCACAGAAGACATCTGCGTCTGCTCTGCTCTAGTTCAGAAATCAGAGTCTTTTGGCAGGAGAGTTTCGTAGTTATAATCTAGTTTTATTGTCTACAGGTTAAACACTTTACATACAAAATACTAATAAGAAAACAGAAATAAAAACACAAGCATATAATTTGCAAGCTTGGTTGCTGAGAAGCATTCCAATGTCTTGTGAAAGGTCTGGAAGTATCGCCCTATCGAAGTTTCTCATAAAAAGCCCTCCATTTTCTCATTTTTCTCCTCCGTGATCTTCTTCTTTGACGCCTTCAGCATTCAATGGTAACATCCCTTTCTTCAAAGCTCTTGCTAATACATGTTTCATCTCTAGCTATACTCTTGCTAATATATGTTATAAACATTTGATCAATAAAGGCTTAAAACAATAACATGTGTGGTGTGTCTTAATAAACCACTTTCTTAACAAAACAAATACAATAACGTGTTCGGTTATAATACAAAAGTATTGCATTAAAGGAAAAGGCATACTTGCAACAGGACAATTGCATATTTTCTTCAACAGTGTACACAAAACATACCAAATATAATTTCTAATGCCATCAGATACATGCAGATGTCCATAAACCTAGTTCTTGCAAACATGCTGCACATTTGTCAAAGTGATTTTTTCAAATGCGAAGCACTAAACTTTTCATTGTTGCCACAAGGTTATGCAATAAGTTTCTGTGAAACTGTTACAATGTAATGAAAAAGACATCTACTGTATATTGTCAGACAATAGACATTTTGTTCATACATATATTGTCATAAAGTTACAGATACTGGTATGAAGGACATTTACAGTCTTTTGAAACAAACACTTCAACAGAACCTCTCTCTGATATATTATGTGGATTTGAGAGGATTTCAAACTGAAGTGAGGAACAGAAAAATAAGTTTAACTGTGAATCAAGCTTATTTCCTTTCTTCAATTACATGTAATTATACAAACCCTTAATAGCATCCTGTTTTGAGTATCTTCTCCATGCATTTGGTATTTTACCCTTCCCCTGAAATGTTTTCATGTAGTATTTCTCCAGATCTTTCTGGAATCTGTACACAAACCACTTCCAGTAGGGCAGTTCAGAGAGATCAGGGGTGATGCTCCAGTCTGCATAAACTCCTCCTGCTCTTCTGTACTCTCTATAGAGGACTATATCATCTGATCCTTTGGGATAAAAACATTGATCACTTGCTACTGATGATGTACAGATGTTAATACACAAGTTTGTTGTTTCTCTGTACAAATATCCATTAACTCCAGTAACTCTGTGGAAAGCAACACTGTGTTCTCCATCATGGTTTTCTATGGTGTTGGTGCAGGTGGCTCCACAGAACGGACACTGAACCCAACAGCACTGACGCCAGCATCTCCTCTGTTCACTTGAACATGTTTAGTAGATTCATAAGCTGCTTCCATGATCTTCTGCTGCAGGAGTTCAATGTTCCTCTTCATCTTGTGTAAAACACTGGCACTGAACTTATCAGTGATGTACCGACTGACTTCATCTCTGATGAAACTCTTGAAGTGCTCTCTGGGATTATGAATGTAGTTCATGTATTTGTTGAAATCCTCCTCTTCTGCCAGTGTCTTCAGGATGTGTTTCTCCAGATATGATCTGTTTCCATTCAGTGATTCACAGTTTGATCTCATTTCATCTGCTAAATCTCTGGCAGTCTTCTTGTAGACGCTCTGCTCAATGGGCTCTTTCAGTTTCTCACAGATGATCTCTCCAAAAATAGTAGCAGATGTTGTTCCATGACAGTATTTCTGGAAAATACTATAGTACTCTTCTCTCTTCTTCTCCAAATAGAGGACAGGGTCATTGTCTTCTCTGAACAGTCTGTGTTGGTCAGTGATCTTCTTGTTTGCTCTCTTACAGATGGACAGAACCAAATGCATGAAGAATTCATTCTTGAACACATAATTCACTTGCCCTTCCTGATGTTCTGTTACTCTTGTCATGATGTAATCTGTGAGTAGCTGGATGCAGCTGATGTTGTAGTCCATCTCTGAAATGTTAAATGACTGAATCATTCTGTCTGTCTGCTGAACAACATCTGTGACTAATGATCTTATTTGAGATTCATCCTCTTTAGAGAGAATGTCATGAGACACCTCTTTAGCTGATCTGTAGACCTTTGTAAAAGCTCCTGTAATTCCACTGGGTTTCTTTAGTTTTACATAATCTGAATAACTCGACACAGTGAATATATCCCTGCTCTCCCTCCAGTGATCTACAGGAAGACTTTCATAGACGTCACTGAGGATCTCTCTCACATCTCTCATTACGTCAATGTCTCTGATTGGAGGAGTGTCTCTGATGATCATCCTTATCCACTGTTTCCAAAACAAATCAAACTCTTTCTTCAGTGTTTCTTCATCATGTGTTTTGTATCTGAGTTTAAAGGCGAGTTCTTTGCTCTTTTCATAGAGAGTGTTTACATGTTGTGTCCTCTGAGCATCAATCTTTTTCTTCATGTCTCGCTGCTGAAGAATCTCATTTAATTTCCTCTTTGTTTCTCTCACAATGTTTTCAAGAACATATTTGATTTTGATTTCAAATGATGTTTTCCACTGAATCAGTTTATCTGCATCTCTGTCTTTCTCAAATAATTCAGACATTGATTTTTCCACTTCTTCACTTGTCTTCTTCAGTTCTCTGTGAAGATCAGTTTCCTCAACCTCATGAATCACTTCATTTTCTATTTGGTTGTGTAATTTGTTCTCAGTTTCCATCATGGCACTGCGAAGACTCCTGGACCACTTGCTGTATTCAGTCTCTAGTTTCCTGTAAGCTGAGATCTCCAGAGCATTTCTGAAGCTGAAGACGAATCGTTCATTCAGTAAAGCCTCCCAGAGATCTATAATACGATATTTGAAGTCATTCAGCACCATTCCATGTGATTTTGAGGCACGAGACATAATAGTTTTCTTCAGTTCTTGAATGTTCTCACAATAGTTTGGGTTTGGTGGAGCCATCGGCGGACTGCCCTCCCAGAGCTGAGGAATATACTTCACATCTTTCTGAACATCAAATGCAATGACGTCACTGAAACATTCTGCAGCACAGACTTCATCTTCAGCAGCAAGTTTTGTCATCTCATCCAGTGTCTCCTGAAGTCGTCTCCTTCCCTCCATGTTTCTCTCTTCATCTGTGACGTCTAAAACGTTCTGATGCACAAACACACAGCTGGGATTCAGTCTGACCTTCTTCATCCTCATGAAGGCCTGAACAACAATCTGAAGAATGTCCTGCATCTCAGATGGGTTTTCTCCAAAGATGTTGATCAGTGTCAGATTTCCCAGACCTACAACAAATGTGGCCAGTTCATTGTCATGATGTCTTGTTGATCTTCCAGTCAGTTCTAGAGCACGAAGACCTCCAGTATCAACAACCAGAATATAGTCAAACCTCAGATGTGTTTTCATCTTTTCTGACACTCTGAGCAGCTGCATGAAAGCTCCTCTAGTTGTTCTGCCAGCGCTGACAGCAAACTGGAGTCCAAACATGGCATTGAGCATGGTGGATTTCCCAGAGCTCTGGATCCCTAAAACTGACAGCACAAAGACTCTCTGGTCTCTCAGTTTCTGGATGAGTTGATCTAGAACAGCAGAGATCCAGACCAGAGGAACATGAGCAGCATCTCCATCCATCAGCTCCAGTGGAGATCCAGAGATCATCATCTCTGCTGCAAGACTCGGGAGAGAAGAAAAGTCCGACTGCAGGTATTTCTTGTTCTTCTCCACAAATGAACATGATTCATAGATCTGACCAATCTCCCTCATGATGTGCTCCAAACCAAAGGTTGCTGCTTCAAGTTCCTCTGACATTTTCTCAAGTGTAATTTGTTCAGCTTTGAGTTGTTCAGGTTTATAATGATACTCTTTCAGTTTTAAGACTGTTGACCACTTTTCATGATATTTTTGATGTAGATCAGAAAGATCAGCTGATGTATATTCATCCAGCAGGATTCTGAGCCATTGAAGGACAAACATATTATGGTTAGTATTTGAGTTCATTTCTTTAATAAAGAGCTTCATAAACTCACTGATGTCAGATTCATGCTGTAGTTCACGTATTTTCTTCATTTCTGTGTGTTTTTTACTGATGTCCATTTCTGTCTCATCTGCTCGAGGTCGATGCAGTTCTTTATTCTTCTGACTCCACTGATGCCACAGTTTCCCCTGATGAGGCAGAAATGATTCTTTGACTTTCGTCAGATCTTTCTTCTTCAGTAAACTCATCATCTGCTGTGCTGCTGCTCTTCCTCTCCTGCCGTCATCATCATCCTCCTCATCTACTCTTATGTCTGAGTGTTTGGACACATCTTCAAGTCTGAAAGTGGAAGATGATTCTGAGAGACAATCATTTATAGCTCTTCTGAGTTCTTTAGAGACATCTGACTGATTTCTGTCTTTCAAACCAATCTTGTATATCCCTTTCCTCATCTCAGTTACAGAAGATTCATCCTCAGTAAGGAGACAAATGAGTGGCTTTCTGTTCTTGTACAGGTTTTGGATAATTGCTGCCTGTCTGTCATTCCTGTCCAGTCGTGGCAGAAGAACAACATTGACTGAGGCCATTTCAGTGAGGATCTGCAGCTGTTTCTCCTGGTCTCCTGCATCACCGTGTAGATTACAGAACGCTACACATTCAGTGAATTTATCATCATATGATCCAGAAGGGCAGAACCAGGCGATCTCCACCACTCCGTCCATCAGGACTCTGGTTCTGCTGCTGCCTGGGCAGTTCCTGTGGAAGAATGTGTTGTGTCTCTCATTGATCAGATTGTTCATCAGCTGAGACTTGGATGAAGACACAGAGCCAAACCTGAAGAAGCACACCATTGGAGTTTGTGCTCTGTAGATCAGCTGGGTTTGACTGATGAACTCATTGTTAGTGTTTCTGATCTTCCAGCTCTTGTTGATTTGTCTGAATGTCCAGAGAGGAAACTCAATCTGTTGTGTGTCTGGATCAGGAACAAGCAGAGGCAGAGCGTACTGACACTGAGACAGTTTAGTGACCATCAGCTGCTTCAGGAAACCATCAGCACAATGAAACACGGCCATCTGAACATCCATCGGGTGAATGAGCTCAGACTGACTGGTGCTTTTATTAGAAAAAGATATTTCATCACAAATATCACTCTCATCTTCAGGTGAGTCACTGTCTCTTTGTTGTGTGTGATCCTGTTCAGTTTGAATGTATCTTGCTCTGTAGTTCATCATCAGTAGTTTCTGTATGAAAGTCTGAATCAGCTCTTCTTCAGCACAAGACTCATGGGACTGTAATGAATGTGCAGTTAACTGAAGAACATCTGCAGCTCTCAGTTTATTGTTCCTGTTAAGATTAAGTCTGCGAAATAGAGGCTCTATTTTTTCACTTTCAGTTATTTCCTGCTTTAGGTGTTGATCTGGATGGACTCCTGCTGCTAAAGTGGTCGGGTTAGACGGCAGCTGGAAGTCGCCATAAAATGTACACGTGAAGTTTTTCACTGCAGTCTTCTCTTTGTCATTCATGTTCAGGTCAGCATTTGCATCTACTGAAATGACACCCAGCAGTTTCTCTAGAGCCATTTTTACTTCTCCTTTTACTGTGCTTTTGTCCTCATCTGAAGAAACTTGTCTGTCGAACACAAAGCAGGCATCTGCTCCATACAGTATTCCTGTTACTACATGTGTGGCTATGTCATTATCATCATCAGGAATATTTTCAGAAGGCAGCTGATTCACGGTCAGTTCTTTAAACTCGCTGGTTGAATGATAATGTAGTGTCAGTCTCTGCTGTATGAAAGACGCTGTTGGTTTTCTTTCAGCAGTTTCGGAAGATCAGCAAAAACCTTCATCGCATCTTCAAAAGTGGTCGGGTTAGACGGCAGCTGGAAGTCGCCATAAAATGTGCATGTGAAGTTTTTGACTGCAGTTTTCTCTTTGTCATTCATGTTCAGGTCAGCGTTTGCATCTATTGAAATGACACCCAGCAGTTTCTCTAGAGCCATTTTTACTTCTCCTTTTACTGTGCTTTTGATTCTGTAACTGCAGCATGCAGTGCACATCGATTGTTTGCTCTACTCATATGTGATTGTTTTTTATATTTATGCTGTCGACATGCTGCAATACACAGCCACAACACTAGATGGCGTTATCAGCAACTGTAGCTAGGGCTAAACCACAATGATGAAATTCCTGGTTTGCACCAATTTAGATGCACTGAAAAATAAAGCTTAATGCAGCACTTAATAAAACATCACATCATTTAATAAAAATATTTTTTTCTTTTTATTTTCTCTATATTCATGTAGCCAAATGTTTGTCCATTTAATTTCAGTTTATTCATGTTCAAGGATAAAGATTTCAGATTCTATCTATCTATCTATCTATCTATTGAGAGAGAGAGAGAGAGAGAGAGAGAGAGAGAGAGAGAGAGATTTGGTCAATGGTAACACTGTAAATGCAAATGCGATGGGCGCCCTGGTCAGTTCAGAGCACAGCTGTGTAGGAAAGAAACAGCCTCGATCCAACCCAGCTGTGGCTGCTGGTGTGCTGCTGGCACGAGGCATATTAACCCATCTGTAACAATCCAATGAGTTTTTCACACCGTTTAAAAACTAACCAAACTAATTTGTCAGCTGAGAGTAAAATGAGTAAAAAATGGCTTTGGCAAGTAAATAATGTGGCTTTAGTGCCAATCAACTGGTAACTTCATAATGGAATAGTTCACCCAAAAATTAAAATTTGCTGTTAATTTAAGATTCTGCGATCAGAAGCTACTCAACTTTCACTTTCTGTTGCATGTATACTCCACCCTATATCTCCGGTGTTTTAAAGAATACTACCATTTAAAATGGTACCGCTCCAATAAAAATGCATGTGTGGATATGGCAAAAAAAAAAAAAAAAACTCCCTACAAATTTATGTAAATTCTTGTTTCCAGTCAAAATATCTAAAGATTCTTAAATCAAGATGCATTTTCTACACACACACACACACTCACACTCACACTCACACACACAAAAGACATAAGGTATTTAGTCTTAATTCCATGGGGGGGAAATTGTTTAAGTGCATTTTTCTTATTTTTTATAATAGAAATTATAATAATCTTGTATCTGTATGCATTAAAATTATTTTTCTTATTCTATATGGCAGATAATTTTACATGTTTGACGTAAAATGCACTTAAATGCACTTGTTTCCCCCAGGAAACAAGACTAAATACCTTATATAATTTTTCATCTATAGAAAATGCATGTTAACTTAATTTTTTTTTTAGATATTTGTACTTGAAATAAGACAAAAATACTCCGTAAGAAAAGCATTTTTGCAGTGTGAATGAATGAATGAGGTATTTAAACATCGCTTACTCTTTAAAAAGGGGGAGGAGACCGAAAGAAACTCTGGGTTTACCGAAGAAAACCTGCTCCCGACCAGGGGTGCATTTCCCAAAGGCATCGTTAGCTAAATATGGAGGTACGTTACATTGAACTCTATTGACAGAACTTGCGACCATAGTTGTTTTTGGGAAACACACCACAGGTTAGACACCACAGAAACTGACTCTGAGTATAACTTACTTCTCTTTCAGAAACGGGCTTGACTTACCCTGCTTTCTCGGGTTTGACAAACCTCCCATTTTGAAACGGAAAACCCAGAGTTTCCCTCATTTCAGGGTTAACATACTCAGAGTTTTCACTAAACCTCCTTTCTGAAACGGGCCCCTGATCTCACGAAACTGTTCTCACCCAATGCAATGACGATAAGTGCTGATGTAGGAGGCAATGATCGTTGCAGGATTTGAAGTCGCTATACGATTAAACTCTTACAACGCAATCGTAAACGTTAGCACTGCGCTCTGCATCGCTCACTTGTTCCAGTGGATCTCGTAGGAGCTGCGTTCAGTATAGCTTTTTTGTTTTGAAGCGGACCGAACTTTCTCCTTCACCACTCGGATCACCAGTCCACTGGCTAGCGTGATTCCCGCCGCCGCTCTTCCGATCTCGCTGACGGTGCTCAGGATGTGCGCTGTTGTTACCCGCGGCAACCACCGCATTTGATGCAACCGTTTCGCCAGCAGTTATTGCTCCTCCCTGTAGCACTGCCCCCAATGCTGACCCCGCCCACTCCTGCAGCCACGCCAACCACAGCAGCGCCGTTGCCGACCATGCCCACCTGCTGCACTGCTTCCAGCGCAGCCTCTCTCGTTCCCGCAGCCTCTGCGCCTGCTAGCACTCCCAACGAGCCTCCCAAAACGCCGCCTGTCGCCGCTCCCAGAGCCATCACGCTCTTTCTGGTCACTGCCGCTACTATTGCGCGACTCCCACCGCGATTGACAAAGGAGCTGCGGCTCCGAAAACAGCTCCTACCGCCATCCTGGTTGCTCCCGCCGCGGCTAGCGCTTTTACACGCTCCAGAACTTTCCCGGAGAGCGCGACTTCGATTCGGATGCGACTGAGCGCAGATCTCAGGGCATGGCGTCTGCTGCGACCGTGCAGCCGCTGCTCGTCACGTATTGCGCGATCGCCGTGCAGGAACACGCTGTTGGTGTAACAAGCTCCGCCCATGCTATCCACCATCATTAGCAGCACGTTCACTTGTGTGCGGTTCTCCGGCGCTCGGTTGTTGAAGATACAGTAGCGTCCGCCGCAGTTGCACAGAAAGATCTTCAGTCGCTCCGGAGCCGATTCGAGGAAACTCTCGATCCTGCCGTCGTCGTCCAGTTAGTCTCCGTGCGTGAATAGCGCCACCGTGTGGCGGAGCGCCTCTTCGCCGAAAAAGCGCAGCATTTGCGTGACGGCCTAATCTTCGTCTGCCGTGTATCGTCCGAGCGGGATCACCAGCAGGAAGACATGTGGCCCAGGAGCCGTGAGTGCAATGCATTTTGCGATTTCTGCATGAAAGCTAGTCGCATCGAGTCGGGTGTCGCCAAATCCTGGCATGTCTACGATGAGGATGCTCTTTGTCGTCCCACAGGACTCTTCATCCGTGCGGCCGCATTCGTACACGTGTGTCACCGAACCCGCTTTCAGCGCAGACAGGAAGTGAGGTCGTCCTACGAAGGTGTTTCCTGTGGCGCTCTTGCCTGAGCCTGTGCGGCCAATCAGAACGAGCCTCAGCTCCGATCTGTCGTGCTCTTCCTCCTCAGAACCGAACGCCTCCTCTCCGCTCGACTGATCTAGAATCAGAACCAGTGCTCACTTCATCATTATCTTTATTTCAACATGCCAAAGAATATAATGGGATCTTATAAACAATTTAAAAAAAAAGTTTAAACCGCTGTGTTGAAAGTTACATTCAAATATTGTTACGTTTATTGAAGTGTTGCACTTTAAAGGAAATTGAATCTTGAAATACACAATACAACAGACAAAAAAACTATAAATACTTATCTTGATACTAAAAATAAAGTCTCTGAACAGAGAATAGGGATTAAAACAAAAAAATTTAAATGCTAAATAAAATGTTATACATAATTATAAATAAGTGTAAATAAAATAAATAATTGTATTTTATTATATGTATATATTAATAATATCTGACTTATTTATACAGAAACGTACTATAATATACACTAAATTCAATGTAGTTTTTAAAACAGCAACGTAAAAATAAACCACTGTAGTACTTTCAAAACTCCTTGCTAAAAATTTAATTAACATTTTGTTACCTTTATTGACAAGTTGCACTGTCAAAGAATTGGACTATTGTAACCGTTTAATTAAAAATATTATTTAAAGAAAAAAACTGTCACCTTGAAATTGTTGTTACCTTTATTGACAAGTCGACAATAAACAGAATCAGATCGATAACATGCCAAAAAATAAAACATACCTCTCTGGATCCTACTTACTTACGTACTAATTAACTAACTAACTAACTAACTAACTAACTAACTAAATAAATAAATAAATAAATAAATAAATAAATAAATAAATAAACAAATAAATAAGCTGGCAGAACAGGGTGCTTAAAATGAGAAAATCATTTTTAATTTATATTAATGATATATGTCACAGAACAGATACTATGATAATATGAAAAAAAAAAGAAAAAAAAAGTAATATGTCAAAAAAAATCTCTCAACAGGGTTAAAAAAACATATA